TATTAACAGACATCTTGCCTAAATTTCCAACCTGCCACTTGTTCTACAGAATTGACTCAAGACTGCAACATCAACTCTTTCCCGAGTCTGCAGTGTGCCTGTCCTGTGGATTTCAGTTTTGTCAGGCCCCAATTTTATGAACTAGTTCCCTAAGAGAAATCAATCTTTCCCTCTCTCTTTCTTTCTTTGTAAAAGGAAGCTTCAAAAAGTTGTGGAATTTAAAGATAATGGATTTTTTTCCCACAAATGTTTTGAGGCATTCTCATATTTGTGTGTATGTATACATGTACACGCACACGCACACAGACATATATACATATGTACTCAGAGACGCTTTTATTGTTGTTTGAAGCCATCATGCTAATTCTAACTCATAGTGACCCCTCCGTAAAACAGAAAAATACTGCCTCGTCCCGTGTCAACTTCACTATAGTTGCTGTTGGAGCTCATGGTTGCCGCCATGTGTCAAGTTATCTCCTTGACAGTCTTCCCCCTTTCCTCTGACCTTCTGCTTTTCCAAGTGTGATGACCTTTTCTAGGGACTGATCTCTTCTGATAACATGCCAAATATGTGGGGAAAAATCCCACCATCTTTGTGTCTAATGAGCATTCTGGTTCTACTTTTTCCAAAACAGATTTGTTTGCTCTGGTAGCCCAGGTAATTTCAATATAGACATGATGGCAAGTAAAAAAACAATTGCTAAAAGATCATAGAAACTTTTATTAAACAAAACTATAGAAATTTGAAGCTATTATTTCTTAACATATTCTCCATCTAGGTCTAAAGGTTAGGTTTCCTTCTCTCTAGCCCTTCCCAAATAATTTTGCAACTCTTAAATGGACACCATGTCAAAATGGTTTTTCTACCCTCAAGGGATCTACACTGTGTTCCTTTGAAATGATCTTTGAGCTTGAGGAACAAACAAGAACTCTGACAAGACAAGAACACAGGTGGATGGTGTGTAGGGTAAAGATTTACTCAGGGCATTCTCAAGAACAGCCTGTTTGCTCCTGAAGAATGAGTGGTTGCATTGTTATGATGAAAAAATAAATGTTGTTGCCCCAACATTACTGGCCTTTTTCTTACCAATATATTTTTCAATTTTCTTAAAACTTCTTCATCATAAGCCTCTCCGATCTGATATCTTGATCTGAACCCTTCAAGAAAATCTATCAAGATTAATCCTTTGGCATCCCATAAGACATTTTTCATAACTTTCTGAGCTGATCTCTCTGCCTCAAATTTAATTGGCCCAGAAGATCCCTCTGGAAGCCACTGTTTTGATTGGACTTATTTTTTTGAAAGAACCCTAATAAGTCTAGGAAAAGTGAATTACTGGGAGAACTTATCTCTAGTCACCCACTGATCACAGAAATACATTTAAATGTTTTCTTTGAAATAAACCCTTGCCTGTATGAATGAAAACTCCAGGGGCAAGAGTTTTTAAACTAACCTTCATATATATCGACTGTAGTCAAATCCACTCTGATTCATGGTGACCCATGTGTGTCAGAGTAGAATTGTGCTCAATGGGGTCTCAATGGCTGAGTTTTCTGTGAAAACTAGATATCAGGCTTTTCTTGTAGGATAACTCCAGCTTGATTCAAATCTCCAAACTTTTGTTTGGAAGCTGAGCACATTAGTCATTCGTGTTACAAAGGGTCTTTCTCTGTGTGTCTGTCTCTTCTCTTTCTCTCTCTCTCTCTCACACACACACACCCACACCCACACTATTTATAGACAAACATATAATTATACAGTTTTACATCTTTGTCATTTCAAAAGATAACAGATTGGGAAAAATAAATAATTTGGGGGAAATATTAGCAGCATATATAATAAAGGCCAACTATCCCTAATACATAAAGAATCTATTTGTCTATTAGTTCTATTTCCTTGAAGAACCCAAAGGACTGCATGCTTGGTAAAATAGAGGGTCAGTGAAAAAGAGGAAGCAACTCAACGAGATAATTGACACAATAGCTTCAGTGGGCTCACACATAACAATTCTGAGAATGGTGCAGGACTGGGTGTTTTCTTCTGTTGTACACAGGATCTCTGTGAGTTGGAGCCAGGTTGGTGGGACCAACAACAAACAACTATACCAAGAATTTATTTGTGCATTAGTTCTATTTATCTGGAGAGTTCTGATCAATATAGACTGAAACACACACACACACACACACACACACACACACACACACACTGCTATTTAGTTAATTCAGACTCATTTAGACCCTATTGTGGTTTTTTGGCTGTAGTTTTCCTGGCAGCAGTTTGTCAAGCTTTTTTTTCTGCAGCACTACTGAGTATGTTTAGACTGCCAACTTTTAGCTTAACAGTTGAATACAAACTGTTTGCACTATTCAGGAAACCTTGTTGATAGAGTGGCCTTACAAGGTGGCTCAATTTGCCATAGTTTATCCTTGTCACTTTCACTGAAATCTACTTTTAGCACTGAGTAGGTGGGGAAGATATTTAGAAAATGGGTCAAAGTGTAGGCATTGCAAAAGTGTCCACATAGAGACAATTTCAGAACGAGGCTGGCTATGAAGATCTGGTCCCACATTGCTAATCTGCAATAGGTTTCAACATTATTTGTGTAAACATAACAGAAGCACTCTGGTAAGTTGAAACGACTCAGGAAGGACCTACCTGATTTGATTGCCGCATAGAGGGGCAGGTGTACAATGACCGGGAACTCATTCTTCCGGACTGCATAGCTCTCTGGGTCTGCACCGTGTGTCAGGATGAGAAGCTTGACAATTTCCAGGTGGCCTCTCTGGCAAGCCAAGGCTAGCATCCAGTTTAGCAGCCGCTGGAAGCTACAGGGACCTGGGAGGGTGGGTGAGTGAGTCGGGGTAAGAGGAAAAAGGGAAAGGGTTCACTGAAGGATATTGGTTAATCACACATTCACGTTCCCACTGACCATTAACAAAATCAGGCTGCCCTGTTTCAAGCTAAAAGTACCTCGGTGGAGTTGCTAATAATTTCTGGAATAACCAATAAACCAGGTGATCCCGAATCAAGCTGCCCCCAGAGTGTGTGTGGTAGTTACATAATCTCAGGTCAACTTGACGGTATTAAGAGTGAAGGGGTAGAGTTCAGTCTTTCAATCAGGTTGCAACTTGATTAGAGGGCAACCCAGATAAATGGGCATCTGGAGGCTGGCCTCCCCCTCTCTCTGCCTTCACCTTCCTCTTGAAAAACCATCTCTAGCCATGCTTATGGCAGCCAGAGCCCTTAACACAACACCTCCAACCACAAAAGTGACAACATAAAACATGGGAAACTGACAATCGGGAAGAGAGTGTATGTGGACAAATTTTCTATGCTCATAATTACGGAGTCTGGGAGGCAGACTGGTGGAGGAAGGCCTTCACATTTGTGAGTTGGAAATGAACCCCAGTCACATGCTCCTGACTAAAATTCACCCCTACAATCCCCCCACCCCACCCCCAGTAGTGCTACTCTTGTGATGCTTTTCACAAGCACATGATTGTTTACTATACACTTGAAGCTTACAGGCCTGAAGGTTTTCTGCTATCAGAGTAATCAGGCCCTATTGTCCACCCCACCCTAAGTATGGCCCATTCCCTTCTAAGGTCAAGCCAGCTCAGGGACAACCAAGTTTAAACCATCATCTTAACTCTAGAACCTTCCCACACTGTGTTATGTATGTACCTCCCCTCCTATTATGTGTGTGCCTCTAGCACATACACTTCCCATTACGTTCATGAATGATGTGGCTTGCATGCCCAGTGATTATACACGCCTCTTGTAGAATACGTATTTTTTTCTCTATCTCTGGTTCCAGACTCCATTGAAGAGGGGAGCCCTTGCCGGCTTTGTCTGATATTTCTTTAATTTGCCCTTCAATTACACAACCTCACCTTAGGGCCCCATATGTTGTGGAGACTGGTCCCCCAAAATAAACCCTCTAGCAACAGAAGAAATTATAAAGATTGGAGCAGAGATAAATAAACTGGAAAACAGAAAAACAATGAGAAAAACCAACAACTTGGTTCTTAGAACTGATAAACAAAATTGACAAACCACTGGCAAACTCAACAAAGGGGAAAAAGAGAAAAGTTGTAAAATCTATAATTAGGGATGAAAATGGTGACATCACAAGGGATCCAAATGAGATCAAAAGAATAGCAACAACCTACTCTGAAAGACTATATTCATGTAAGTCTGAAAATCTAAAAGAAATGGACAAATGTTTAGAAATACTCCATCTACTCAAATTAATGCAGATGGGTGTCTAAAACCTGAACACATAATAAAAAGAGAAATAGAGAAGGTCATCAAGAAACTTTTAACCAAGTAAATGCCAGGGCCAGACCACTTCACAGAGGAATTCTAGCAAGTATTAAGTGAAGAGCTGTCATCAATTCTGCACAGACTATTCCAGAATATAGAAAAGGACATCAAACCCCAAAACTCATGCTATGAAACAAGCATAATCCCCATACCAAAATCAGGAAAATACATCCCTAAAGACAGAAAACGATATACAATTAACCCTCATGAACATATACAAAAAAATTCTCAACAAAATTCTGGTCAGTAGAATTTAACAACATATCAAAAAAAATAATGCACCATGTGAAAGGGGGATTCATAGCAGGATTCAAGGATGGTTCAGCATTAAAAAAAACAACATTAACAAGAAAAAAGATTAAGAACCAAAAGATCTCATCAATTTTCTGCATCAAATGGCAACACCACCCTCAACAGGGGAAAACTGACAACATTTTCCCAGAAAACAATCCCCTGTCCCCACTCTTATTTAACATCATTTGGAAGTCTTAGCCAGAGCTCTTACACAACACCAAGGGAATATATTTGGATAAGAAGTGAAACTCTCACTATTTGCAGATGATATGATTTTATATAGAGTGAACCCTTAGGACCCCACAAAAAGACTTGACAACAATTGAGAGCCTTGGCGAAGGAACAGATTACAAGATTAGCAAACAGAAATCAATTGTATTCTTCTATACCAGCAAAGGAAGCTTCAAAAACTTCGAAAATCACATCAAGAAAATAATACCATTTACAATAACCAAACAATTTACAATAGCCCTAAACAAAGAACACTACAGAACATTATTACAAGAAATCAAAAGATATCCACACAAATGGAAGACTATCCCATGTTCATGGGTAGGAAGACTTAATATTGTGGAAATGTCACTACTACCTAAAGCAATCTATAAGTATAATGCAATTCCAATCCAAATCCCAATTTCTTTT